GGCCTCCAGCCTAATAAAGCTTTGTCACTACTATTCTCAAGAGTCAACCTTTTCCAACCGCATGTGTGATCAGCTCAACAACAAAAGGAGGAGGTACCGGTCAAGATTGCTACAATATTCTCCAATCACAAAGGGCCGCCGAATCTTAATCTTTTCTCATCCCGTTAGTGTACTTTAGAAAACTATGTACATAGAATCCCCTTTTTTTCTTAGTGTCTTTTCAAGAAGATGCTTTCGTATTGGTAGAAAAGACGCACAACCTTGACCAACAATAGTCCTCTTTTTTCGTAATTACTAGATTGCTTCTAGATTGTTGAATCATTGCACATCTTACGGAACTTCACCAAACGATTTAGTAGATGCGTATTTCGTTGAGATTGATGGATTGTTCATTAAATTTGAAGATTAAATCTTTAATTATTAACATTTAATAATATTAATTTATTAATCATTGTTTTTATTAAAAAAATACACATCTTATAGGCCCTCTTTTCAACTGTACAGCTTTAATGATTGTTTAAATATGTGTACAATAAGGTTCAATTATATATACGCGTACCAGAAATTAGCTACATGCATTAATTGCATTGTAGGTAACAGGTGGGAAGGGGTTCCTGTTTGCTTGAATCATGAATGAGCTCTTAAATTCTTTTTCCCTCGCATCTGAATTCTTATTTCTGTTCAACAAAGATTAATAGCAGCAGTGACTAGTGAGGCATAATATAAGTTTAGATGTACTATTTGTCAGTTGGTAGGTCTGCTATTTATGGACAAGTTAGTTCAGAAACATACTTTTTGCAATGGAGGTCCTTTTAAATTGGTTAAATGCTAGATTTGATCCCTCAACTTTAGTGAGTTGCACATTTTTGGTCCCTTAACAATTTTTTGCACTTTTTTGATCCCTTAACTATACGAAATGCACTCCGTTAGTCCTTCTGTTAATTTCGATCGTTAACTCGTTCACGTGGTATTTTTTATTATTTTTTTTATGACGTGACAAAAACAAATTGAAAACATGTTGACGTGGATTCTTTTTTTCATGCCAACTCACTTTATTATCATTATTTATATTTTTAAAAAATAAATTAATATACTTCGTTCATCTTTTTCCTTTCTCTTTTTCTTTTTTTTTTCTTCCTCTTCTTTCTTCCTCTCCTTTCTTCCTCGCGGGTCATTTAACCCTCTGCTGGGTTCCACCGAACCCAGATCTGCTGGGTTAGGT